GGCGGGTGCGGGAGTGGTGGGGGGAAACCCGGCCCCCCCCCCCAGTCTGTATTTAGAGGTGAGCGGCAGGAGGTTGCAGAGATGATGCCCTGTTGCGTCCGACGCTGCTTCCTCAAAGGCATTGATCGGTCGCTGCGTACGAGACCCGCTGCCTTTTTGGATCAGTTTGTCTCTAAAGCAGCGATTCGGAGCCAGGTGCCGCAGCTCCCGGAGATCCTTTCGGGCCACGCAGCATTAGCGCTGTTAGGTGCGTGATCCCGATTCTCGAGATGAACCTGGAGATTTCAAAGAGGAATTCAGAGGCTGACAGCTACTCTGACTGACCTGCTGTGGGCTTTCTTTGCAGCCACAGAACTGCTCTGCTCTCTTTCTGTAGTCATAAATAGTGAGAAATAAGAGCTGGAATTTCCCAAGCATTTAAAAGGGTGAGACCCCCCCCCCCCCCCCCAACCCTCCCCGCCCTTTTTACTGTTAGCAAGCACAGTGTCAATTATAGCAACTTTCACATCTTCCATGTGTGTTAGAATATCACATTCAGATGGGATTTGCTGCTGTGGGTGTCAATCAGTTGCTGAGCTAAATATTTAGGCTCAAAAGTGATGTTTGGTAGAGGACAAAACAGAAGTTTGGAGTTTAGTGCTCAGAACCATTGGCTGCAATCCCTACCGTGCTTTTCATCATATACGAGGGGCTGGTGGAGCTTCTTATTCTGTTTTCTAGTCTTCCCTCTGATGCAAAATCACTAAAGCAGCATTGATTAAAAAAAAAACAAGCCAAAAACCTGCCTCTGGCTGCTATGAGGAGAGCAAGATATTGCAGTAGTTGATTTTAAATATTTGTAGTGTACGTGTGCTCTGGTCACAGGACGTGACAGAATTGTGTCCTCTTGAAGAGCTGCGCTGAAGGTACTCTAATACTGTATGTATATCGTATACTGTATATAGTATGCCTATATATCTGCTTTGGTTAGTCTGTGTGGTGCAAATCTACCCTTCTACTTGACTTTAGACTGACACAGGTAGCTACACCTTGATATTTTAATACTTTCAAGGGTACAGAGGCATAAATGGAGCCTAATTACACCCATCTCTGGAGGGAGCTAGTGGCTGCAACACATCCTGCTCTCCTCAAGGAAGGCCCTGGCTTAGTCCAGTGGGACTAAAGCGGGACAGTCTTATTTTACGTTGAAAGAGCATTGCCTTTAGAAAGCTGCAATAAGACAGTCCTGGCCTTTTATGCAGTGCCAGCATTTAGCTTTGAAAACTGAAAATAGCATAGCTGAGTACTGGGGAGGTGTAGGGAGTAGAGGTAAAAACAGCTAGCAAAGGGAAGCTTGAAGTAAAAGTAGGGGGTGTGAAAGCACCAAGCAAGCAGACCCAGGTTAGGTCACGGTTATTAACTAGAGAGATCGTTCTGCGGTTCTTGCGTTAACTATCTCACAAAAAATAGCTAGGACACAATATTGCCTGGTGGTGTGCCTTTCTCTAAGTGGTCAGTATTTTTAACTTGGACGTTTCGAAAGAGCTGCCTTTTTTTTTATTTTCCCCTTAATTTATTTTTCTTGTGGTTCCTAATTGTCTAAATGAATTTGTGTAACTCTCAGAGTTGTGGCTTGGCCCAAAAACCAGGGGGGAACACCTTTATTCCTGCAAAAAGCGTCATGGGGCCTTTAACGCTCCAGAAGTGATCAGTCCTGGGTGTGGTAATGCACATGTCCCAACTCTGGCATACTAAAGGTGCAACAGGAATCAGTCTGGGAAGATCCTAGATGCTCATCTGAATATTTGTGTGGAGTATTTGCATCTAATAATTGAAGTCTTCCCTGAATTTTAGGTAGAGAGTAGAAAAAATGTCTGGTAGTCTGGAAAGCAGCAGTTTGGGAATGTAAGAAATAATATTTCCTCGAGACTTTTAATTGAGTGTTTCAGGGAACAGTTAAATACGATGGGAGGCTGCAAAGCTCATGGAGACCAATTTGCTTCTAATTAACGAAGGTAGTGGACACCGTGAACTTAATTGCCTGGAGAATGTATTTAGTATTCTCTGGAGATCTCTGGCCCAGGCTTACACTTCAAAAATTCAGCTTGAACTGAAACTTCCAGCAGGTCTGGCACAATCGGGCTGAACATTTGAGCTCAGCTAAAGGGCTTGCCGCTCAGTCATTCAAACCAAACTCTGCGGTGTTTGTAAGCCTCATTACTGGAGGTGCTAAGAGGATTAGTCTCCCAGCTCTTAACACAGATTGAATGTGTCACTATTCACCACACTAAAAAAAAAGCCTGAAATGCCCCAAGACCAGGAGGAGATGAAGGAAGGATTAATATGGGGAAAGATAAAGGGAAGAATGACTTGGGAGCTCAGCAGGGCAGGGCTGTGAGCCTGGACAAACAACACATTTGTACTGGCATAATTTATCATTTAATTACGCTGGCATGTGGAGGGGACAGATGTGCAGCTGCCCTGGGATAGCTGTGTCCACTAAGCAGGTGTTTCAGCACCTTGAGCAAATGCCTGTTCAATATAACTTGGGGACAGATGACAACTACATGGGGGGTAATTATACAGGCAGAGCTTTGCCTCTGATTTTTACAGGGGTTGTTCTGCACTGCACTGGGTGAAGGGTGTAGTAGTGTGTTATCCTGTCTTATATGTGATATATACATGTTGTCTGTTCCGGCTGCGTATCTTGGACAACTGCAAATGAGCCTGTTCGGTGCTGTCGCTGTGCAGAAGTGAGTGGAGAGTGGAAGGTAGCAATCAGAGTTTGTATTAATGAACTAGGGCATGCGTGGGGATATTCCCGAGGTCTGGGATGGAGTGAAGAGAGGAGAGAGGCAGACAAGGTTCCTTGGGTGAATCTGATATCTTTTATTAGACCAACCCGAATAGTTGGAAAATAATAAAACTATTTTTTAATAGTTTTATTACAGAGAGAGAGCAGAGAGGGAAGTGACTGCTGAGGGCAGCAGTGTGTCCTCAAGGAGCTGTGAAGTATCTCATCCCAGACTTGTTAGGACAGATCTTCCCCAGAGCTTCATTCCTTGCTGTGATTGTTTTCACTGCCTGACCAGCCTGAAACGTGTGAATTTTTGACACCTCAATGGAGCACGTTAAGGTCTCGTTAGGTGCAAGGATTCTTTTTAGCTGGATTGCCAGCCTGTTTGGTGTAGAGCAGCCATGCATAGTTTGACCCTATGAGTGCTCTTGCACCAGGACAGGCCTGGAGCTGAGGTTTTGATGTGGAAGTTTAGGTCCTGTGAAAAGACGTTTGAAATAATTTTAAAATCTGGAATCCCCACTGAGACTTTTCTTGTACCAGAAATATGGCAAGCCCTGATGTCACGCTTCCGCTTGTGCAGGGGAGGGTGCAGCAATAGCTTTGAAAACTGTCCTGTGGAGTCTGAAAAACAGTTATGGGCCTTAATACATGTTTGTCCTTTTCTACCTCAATACGGAAAAGGTTTTTTTGCAAAAATCAATTTTCAAAGGATTTCCTTTAAGGTGTCTATATACATTTACATTTACATGCACTCGTGTGTGCATATATAGGCACTTATATATTGTGCATGTATGCACACATGTATGTATAGGTAGGTATATATATGAATCTGTATATACGTATACATATAGGTATATATAGATTCATAGATGCTAGGGTCGGAAGGTACCTCAGTAGATCATCGAGTCCGACCCCCTGCATAGGCAGGAAAGA